CATATTTCAAATTCTCTAAATGTTACATTTTTTTAAACCCAGACTGACTTGGCCAGCTTATTGCAATTAACAGAGTGTACAACCAGCCTGGCTAAGTGGTTACACTTGAAAAGAGGTGAAATGATCCCTCTGGGTAAAGAATAATTATATGATGAACCCTCTTTGGCGCTTGAGCTTCAAGTCACGAGGACGGAGAGGCTGGGAGAAGGAGACGAGGACGGAGAGGCTCGGAGAAGGAGACGAGGACGGAGAGGCTCGGAGAAGGAGACGTTGGGTCGTCGGTGAGTTATCCTCACGTCTCTGACAGGCGACAGGATGCTGAGCCTGTCCGTCTCTCTCCGAGGCCCCGCCTCCTCCTGGCATCCTCCTCCGGGCCGGCTTTATACCCCGCCGGGATCGGATTATGACTTTAATTCTCCGCTTCCATTACCGGTCCCCATATGTCACGCAGAGCGTCTCTGTGCCTCACAGACACATTGGTCCATTATAAGGAAATATTAAATCACAGATATGAAGTTAAAGCTTTTATCGGTGACTGATGGGTTTTATTTTCGGACTGCGGCACAGATTGCATGTGCTTGTGGTTTCTTTTTGCAGCTCGTCTGCGGTGTTCAGTTTACAGTCGACGCCGGTGCTCTGAGCTCTTTGTCTGGAGCTGTAGGTGGTCCTGTCTGGCCCAAACTGACCACCTCTAGCCGGGTTTCTGACACTAAAAATGTAACCTTCTCATTGTACTGCAAGGCAGCCTCCACCAAAAGCCACAGAGATTCTGAGTATTTGAGGTTGTAGCCTAAACTGCAGAGTGGTGATCAAAGTGACTCCATATTATTATCCACCTTTGCATGATAATGTAGTGCTTCTGCACAGTGAGGCGCCTCACATGCTGTAAGTCTGTCACGGTTCTGTGAAGTCCAGATATGGTTCCAGCTCCCTCAGTGTTAAGTCTCTCTAAACCTGCTCATACGTACAGAGCTCTAATCCTCTCACTGCAGCGGTTTAACATGCAACCACTGCAGGGTCTTTGTATGAAGTACAGTCTATTATAACATGGTGCAGTTAAACTATGACTGTAACCATACCTCATTAGTTTGTGTTGTGTTAAAGTGCAGTAGGAATGTTTAAGATTAATGAGATAAAAGATTGTGATATCCAGACCTGTATGGAAGGGTCTGCCATACTTGTATGAATTATAAATTAGGAAGAAGTGTTTAAAGAAGCAGCTTCTGACCTTACTCTTGGAAATAAGACCTGGGAAATGTTTTTTGTGAATTTAAAAAGGATCATTATTACCTACATGCTGGAATTGGGGCTTGTTTTTAAAGATAACTTTTTAAAGGTGAAGTATTTGGCAAACCTTTGCTTCAGAAAGCAATTTTGAGCAAAACGTGACTAACCTGTTTTATACAGTGAGCCTTACACACCTGAGTTTAGTATTATTTTCTTACTTAAATACTTCACTGTCTCACCTTAGGCCTTGAAGACCTTCTCTAGGACAGTGATTGACGGGGAGATTAAGACAAATGACTGCAAAGATAATTAAGTACATGCTTCTGTAATTAAGAACTCGCCTTTCCAGTTGTGAATCACGTCGTAAGCTGAAAAGGGAAACCTCACCCTTCTGTCACACGATGTCTTGTTAAAAACAAATGTCCTGCAGTGCGTGAAAGGTAAACATGTGACAGAGCTACCGCACCCCCACTGCCTCTCTTTACCTTCACAAGGAGGCTCGTAGAAGCCGACCTTCAGCGTCTGGCAGCGAGCCGAGTGTGAGACAAAGAGACGCACACTTTGGGACTACAGATGAAAAATAGCCTTTTGGCTAACTCTGGCACATTTGCAGAAATGTTTTTATTAATGTGCACTGTCCCGTTCAAATAAACCAAAAAATAAACTTCTTCTCTTGTTCTGTCTCGCTGCCCCTCACACAGACCTGCCTGTCTCACCTCCTGTGAAGGACAGTGAGACGTCATGCCTAAAGCTGAGCGGGCAGGTGATGATGTCACCGTGGCAGGTGACATCATCCCCAAACAGCCACTCTGCTGCTCTCAGCAAACCTCCACCGCTGGGAGTGAAGCTTCAGCTCTTGTGTGCGTGGTTTTTTTTTTTTTTTTGTTTGTTTTTTTTTGGCTGAGTGTGCATGAGCAAAGGTTTCTCCCTCATCTTCAGCAGGAGCCAGGTTCTCTTTCTCTCTCTGTCCAACCTGAACAACTACGGCTTTATTTTCTCAGAAATCTGTCTCTCTCTCTCTCGCTCTTTCTCTCTCTCTCTCTCTCTCTCTCTCTTTCTCTCTCGCTCACTCTCTCGCTTTACTCCCTCTCAGTGATGTGCGATGCTCTTAATGATTTATTGGTGCAGTGAGGAAGATGTTTGACGGCGGTGTGTTGTTGACAGGTTTAGACGTGCTCCGGTGTTCACAGCTGAACGGCAGCAGCTCAGAGACGAGCTGTGAGTTTTAGAAAAGCAGAAATAAAGCAAAGCATCTGTAACTTCTGTGTTTTAAATCATGTTTATAGACGGACCAGAACCCAAACGGAGCCTCAGATGTCATTGTAAATACATTGTGATACATTGTATCCTGCAAACTGCTACAATTTGTAACTAATATTGATGTGTTTGCTTTGATGAGAACCAGAATCCTGAAGGTACAACAAGAAGTCTCATTGTTTACATGCACATGAAAAGAGTACATTTGGGAAATGCCATCAGATTCCCATGTGTGAAAGCACTGTGGCAGAGAAACAGCATTACACACCCAATTAGTGAGCTAAACTGTCTGAAACAGTAACCCCCCCCCCCCCAGTGGTTACTGGAAAGGATTAGATTTCTAAAACATTCTGACAATCCACAGAAACATGTAATTAGCTGAGCACGGTGAATTTGTCACGAAAGCTAATTGATTTCCTCACGTTTCACGTTTATTGTGAATTACAACAATAGAACACGAGACGGATTAAAGAGCACGTTTGTGTCTTTGTTTTTTTTCTGAGGATGTGTGACGCTTGAGTATCACATGATCCAAACAGCTGAAGGCTGGTTGGTTGTACTGAGCACACTTAAGAGCCACAGAAAGGTCTGAATGACATTTAGCAGAGATGAAACATCAGTGATCAGAGTAAAGAGCCATAGAATTGAATATATGAAAGTTGCTGCTTAAATGACGCTTGAAAGTTGATGTTTTATCTCTTATTAAAAGTGTATTTATTTTCATGTTAGCAGAGTTGGTCTTTGTTTCAGTGGGAAACCCTGTTGTGTCAATAACCAGATTATCATCATGAATAATTAAGAAAAGAGACGATTGGGACATCCCTGCTTCATCCCTGGGTCAAGTGTCAGCCTGAAAATGAAGGAAGGACTGTGCACCAAAAGCAGCCGGAGGAAGAACAAAGATCAGTTTGCGGACGTTACCTCTCCTCCCTCGCCTCCGTCCAGCCGTGTAATCCCGCTGCCGAGGCGTCGGTGTCAGCGTCGGGATCCAGTGTCCCACAGACGGACACACAATGGCCGCTCTGTGCTCCCCTCACTGCATTGTCTCTCCCCCCCCCTGAACTCAGAGGCACAATGAGGCCCTTATCCACACAGGACCGAACCGGGCCCGCTGTCAGGTGCTTTCTCTTCCAGTGAGCTGAACCCGCGACGAGAGTTTGTTCGAATCGTATTCTTTTTTCCGCGTCGCTCAGGATGAAAATGATGCCAATGGAAAGTCAATTCTGATCTTTTTTCGTGGCGGTCACACAAAGTAAATGCATCCACGTGACTAAGCAACAGTCGGAGCAAGTACAGTAGTATTTAATATCCAAAAAGAGCACTTATGGGGGACAGGTTGCATCTTTTGGTTGGTTCAGCTGGTTGTGTTGCTTACCTTCGTTTTGTTACCTGAACCTAACTGTACGTAGTCATTTTAAACCTAACTACGATGTTTTTCCAAAACCTAAAGGTTGTTGAGTTGTAGTGATTGAGGTTCAGGATTGATAACCGACATTACAGTTTTATGTTTAGTGAAGCGTGAGGTTAAAAGTAGAGCAGCTCTGTGTCTTTGCTCAGGAGTAGATTCCTGCACACCGCTCTTTATTGAGTCGGCACATCAAACTAACGCTTCGGTCCCGACAGACCTTTCTAGAAAATGAGTTCTCAGCTTCTCATCATCTGCAACCAGCTCTCACTCCGAGGAACGCCTGCAGGGGACGAGACATGATTTGATGTACTGATTCAATAAATGTCTTTGAGTGTAAGAACACTGAGCGTCTCCCCCATGTGCAAAAGAAATAGTCTATTTCAAATTAACACAACTTTATAAGCTGTCAGTCTTATTTTGAATTGTACCAAATTTTGGAAGGTTATTTTCAACCTGTATGTCTCAAAATCCTTTTCTTACACGGTCAAGACGGGATCATTTTGTGGTGATTCTTTTGTGTGTGTGTGTGTTTGTTTTGTTTGTTACACCATCTTTCTTTCACCAAATAATGAAATGCTCACTTTCACTGCCACTCACTCACTCACTCACTCACTCTCACACACATTAAACCAGTTAATCCCTGCCAGAGTTCAGTCACTCAGCATTTCAGCTTTGACAGACAGACAGACAGACTCACTGCTTTAGTACATATTGACCCAGCTGGCAGGTTTTATAGGACAAAGTATTGGGTCAGATTAGGATGTTGACCCTGCTGTCATCTTGTACAAAAACCACACATCTGGAGCAGATGAAAATGTTTGCAATTACAAAAAATTAGTTCAGTATGTTCCCATGATTTAGGATGGAGAAAAAGAACATGGACTTCCAAATACCAGTTTCAGTATTTCCATCTCAACGGGGGGTTTATTTCATGTGGTTGTCAACAATTACACCAATGCAGCGCGGTAATTACCATGTGTGAACCAGCTCTGTCTCCGGTTTAAAGCGAAGCGGCTCCATGATCGCGTTGTGAAAGATTGTTCACAGGTTTGATCCCCACAGCCTCCTTCCAGGCTCTCATCTCTCTGACTTTGTTTATTTTCTGTAGGATTCGTCCTCAGCTGGCCAGGGAGAAGATAGAGGGATGTCATATCTGTACATACGTGATGCCCGGGGAGCCTCAGGTGATCCTGGGGAAAGACAAGTCCTTCACCTACGACTACATGTTCGACATGGACTCCCAGCAGGAGGCCATCTACTCCAGCTGCACGGAGAAGCTAATCGAGGGCTGCTTCGAGGGCTACAACGCCACCGTTTTTGCATACGGACAGGCGAGTGTCTGTCCTCGCTGTCACAGCTGCAGGGCTGAATCGTGTGTGTGTGTGGAGAGACTTGATGTTCGGGTGGAAGGAGGCCTTGTTTATCCAGCCATAGTTATAAAGGAATTGGACATTTAGGGAAATGCACTTATTAACATATGCAAGTTAGGGCCTCAAAGCACCTCACCCAGTGAAGCGCACACACACACACACTTTTAGAGAGCCATGCATCTTTAATATGTGTCCATATTAACCCATATCTCCCCAGTAACTGCTTGTGTCACCGCTGGCCTACTTCTGAAGCGTACCGTGTGCACCGTCTGTCCTGGATCAGTCCCGTTTGCCTCTGTGGCTTTAGAGGGACTCATCTAGATTTAGAGCGACCCACTCGGTCGCGTCACAACAACTCGGTCGCCCCGGTTTGGGTTTCAGATATAAACGGACGACAGCGAGAGTAGAAAGCTAAATATCTGTCCTCTCAAAGGGGCTTTGGTATGAAATAAACATGAAGAATACATTAAAAACATTGCACTTTTCCTTTGCTCTTCAAACAATGGATTAAAATGAGCAGATTGAGACGACATCCTTCATGAACAAAGAGACAGACGTCAAGTCACCTTTTTTTCTTGACTGGAAACACTTTATGTATAAACCCCAGTTCCACACAATGAGCTGATGTCAGAGATGCTCAGAGCCCTAAACATCAACCTCACCCGACACATTTGGGATGAACTGGAAGGCCGACTGTGAGCCGTCCAGGTTCCAACATCTGGTGGAAAGAGTGGAGGACGTCACAGCAGCAGATTTATGGTTATCAAATCACATGTCAACAATTGGGTGTGATGTTCATGTGTCCACATACTTTTGTTTTAGTAGCTTGAAATCAAATAGAAATCGCAAACATCAAGATGAGATTATAGTGCAGCCCCCCCCCTTTAGATTAGATTAATCACCGAGACCAATAAAACAGATTACTGTTTTATTGGTCTCAGTCGACTAAGAATTCTCAGCCGATTAGATTTTTAATGCTGAATGACTTACTTTACTTTAAAGACATTTATGAACACATCTCTGGTAAGCACGAGATTTACAGTAAATAGGTGGTTCTGTGTGATTTTATGAGCTGTAGTTTAAATCGAATAATTCATTATTTAACTAAATCGTATCGTGTTAGTCAACATAATGAATTCGGTCTTGGACAGCTCTACAAAATGTATTTTTGTTGTAAAATTGTATCATTGTAGTAGGTTGTTAAGTTTCATTGTTTATTTCTACGACAAACTGTAAAATAAAAACAAGCCAAACAAAATAGATTAAATATTAAAACCACTGCTAGAAAGTGACCAGTCTGTTCATGATGTAAGACCAGTAAACAGACTGAAGTGTCTTTAAGTCAAAGGCACAGTCATACACTTCACTAACCAGCATCTGTTGCCTCTGACATGCTTCCTGCCGGATGAACCGCCCTTCTTGGGATGAAAGTAAAATAATCTGAATATTTCTTTGTTCTCTTGTATGACGTCGTTTTCTTCTCTTGCCGCCCCAGACGGGTTCAGGGAAGACGTACACCATGGGGACGGGCTTCGACGTGAACTTCGTGGAAGAGGAGTTGGGTATCATCCCGCGCGCCGTGCACCACCTCTACAGGGGCATCGAGCAGCGCCAACAGGCCGCCCAGGAGCAGGGACTCCCCGCCCCCGAGTTCAAGATCAACGCCCAGTTCCTCGAGGTACACGACCGTAAATAAATAAAACCAACAAGAAGTAATCTTTCTCTCACTAGCAGCTTTACAGAGATGTCGGGGGTCAGGCTCTTATTGTTGACACTGCTCGTCTAACCGGCTTTGACACCAGTGCTCCGTCGTTTCAAGAGATCCACACTGACGATTGAACTGCAGCAGCTGTCATCTGGGGGTCAGGAGGTGTTGTGGGGGGTTTATCTTAAACTAGCTAGATTTATTTGCCTTGACTAAATATAAGCTCTCGGACAAACACTTTTTTGTAGCACTACTCTAAACATGTTAGTCAACAGGGGCGGATTTTCCTCTGGTGATGGAGAAGATATTAAGAAGGTCCAAGAAATTCTGAATTTGAAACCTTCGGATGTTCTGATGTTGATTTAAAGTGATGTATCTGTCAGGTTAAAATAAGTTTTTTGTGTGTGTGTGTGTGTTTCGGTTTCCTGTAGCTTTATAATGAGGAAGTTCTGGACCTGTTTGACTCCACACGAGACACGAAGCAGAAATCTCACATCAAGATCCACGAGGACGCCACCGGGGGAATCTACACAGTGGGAGTGACCACGCGGACCGTGTCCTCCGAGGCCGAGGTAACTGTGTGTGTGTGTGTGTGTGTGAGAGAGACAAACATCTGGCTCATTGTAACAGCCCCATTATTAATGACTAAAACAAGGGTTTATCAATGCAGCTCAGCCTTATTACTCATTTAATATTCATTCCTTCTCTGGTGTTTACTTTTATAACTGCCAGAGAGTGTTTGTTGTTGTTGTTGTTGTTGTTGTTGTTTTTCCCACAGCTGTATCAAAGTGGGTTTGCTTGCTAATATTTAACGCTCTTCTCTCGGCCCGGTCAGATGATGCAGTGCCTGAAGCTCGGGGCTCTGTCTCGCACCACAGCCAGCACTCAGATGAACGTCCAGAGCTCTCGATCCCACGCCATCTTCACCATCCACCTGTGCCAAGTTCGCATCTGTGCCTCCGACAATGTTCGTACGGTCTCCGGCATCATTCGAACGTTTGACAGGACTTGCTGCTGCCGTATTTAACTGTGTTTGTTTGTCACTCAGCAAGAAGGTGAGAGTGACAACAGAGTGTCCAACGGAAACTCCGAGATAGACGAGTACGAGACGCTGACAGCCAAGTTTCACTTTGTGGATCTTGCCGGATCCGAGAGGCTGAAGAGAACCGGAGCGACGGGCGATCGAGCCAAAGAGGGCATCTCCATCAACTGTGGACTGGTGAGCTGCTTCTCCCTCCTCTGCATCACTCCAGCAGGATTTGTAAAGTCACTCAGTGATGCAGAGAAACTGCTGAGATACTAGAGTGTGACTGCCATCTAGTGGCTGAATCTCACCATTCATCACCTACGCAACAAGAGAAATACTGCACAGAGGAAGGACAAACACACAGACCATCATGTTATCATTAGTGGCATGATTTCCTACATACAACATCTTTAACATTATCTCTCCTATTTAACATGCACAACAATATCAATAACAATGCATTTAGATATGTTGAGTGCAGCAATGAAAGAATAAATGAAACTTCAGCTGCAGTGTGAATGTTCTTCGGACTCATTTTAAGTATTTCAATTCATTTTTTAGGATATTATGTGCTGTGAACCTGTCACTCCCTCTATTTTTGCTTTCTTGGAGTATTTTAACATGCATTTTCTAGGTGGAGAGAGTTTGAAGTTCGATGGTGGATCTTTGTCTTGTTTACATCGTACAACTGATCCCCTTCAGGCCCAAATGAGTTGAAAAGCAGAGTGATAACTTTTGAGTCTTAACTTAACGAACAAGCTCCTTTAGTTATTGACAGAAACCAACAGTCATGGAATAAACTGCTGCATCCCATTGAAACGTGTGTCTCCTCTGTGTCGCTGCAGCTCGCTCTGGGGAATGTAATCAGTGCTCTGGGTGACCGCAGCAAGCGCTCCTCTCATGTGCCTTACAGAGACTCCAAACTCACCCGACTGCTGCAGGACTCGTTAGGAGGAAACAGGTGGGTGGTCAGCTGACGTCCCCTTTATCCTCAAGTACCAACCGTGTCTATGTGGACCCTGAGAAGTCTCAGTGGTCAAAGGTTTAAAAAAAACAAACTTCTTTCTTTCATCAAAGCAAATAGGAATTAAACTCCACAACTTGTCATGGTTATATTCTTTCATCCAGCACACGACACTGTGTCAGCGCTAAAGAAAGATCTGGCTCCACACATTATCATTCTGCTATAGGGGAAGAATACACAGCCACGTGTTCATGCAAAAATGAATTGCAGAATAAAGGAGCATAAAAGGTATCTTCAATATTTGACGGCATTGCATGCCAACTATTTATTTACATCCATCTGAGAGGAAGGGGAGGAATATTCTGACCTTTTTAATATAGTTTAAATTCTTTAGCGTTGCACTGAAGTCAAAATAATATTGCTGGTACTTCCAAACATTTATAACTCTTGTCTCAGCCAAACGGTGATGATCGCCTGCATAAGCCCGTCCGACCGGGACTTCATGGAGACGCTGAACTCGCTGAAGTATGCCAACCGAGCTCGCAACATCAAGAACAAGGTGATGGTGAACCAGGACAAGGCCAGCCAGCAGATCAGCGTTCTGAGGACGGAGATCGCTCGTCTGCAGATCGAGCTGATGGAGTACAAGACAGTAAGAGGAGTTTAAAAACAGAAATTGTAACTAGAGGGGGAATATTTCACGTCAAAAACGAGCTGAACCTCTGATTCGCCTCCTGCAGGGTAAACGCCTGTCGGGGGAGGACGGCGTGGAGAGCTTCAGCGACATGTTCCACGAGAACTCCATGCTGCAGACGGAGAACAGCAACCTGAGGGTGAGGGTGAAAGCCATGCAGGAGACCATCGACGCTCAGAGGGCGCGGCTCACCCAGCTGCTCAGTGACCAGGCCAACCAGGTCCTCGCCAGGGCAGGTGGGTCCTTTGTTCTTTGTGTTTCCTTTCTTTTATCCTCGTCTCTCTGGCTTCATTCTGCTCATCTGTGAGGCCATAGTGAACACCGGATCTGCACCTTTAGTGAGAAAAGCCATTTAACTCGTCGTGTCTCGATTCTCTTCCAGGTGAAGGTGCGTCTGAAGAAATCGGAAACATGATTCAGGGTTACATCAAAGAGATTGAAGAGCTCAGGTAAACAACTCTGACTGGAGAAATATTTAGCCCTGTAAACCCAAGATGCATCACACTTCTTCAGTGTTTTTGGACTCTTAAAGTAAGAAAGGAGAGACGTTTAACAGTGAAAGAAGGTTTGGGATTTGCTTTGGGGTTCTTCCTTTAACATTTGTTGCACATAACAGACAAATTAGAAAACATGGAACGTTTTCAAACTCTGGGTCATACGTGTGCATTGTTCTTTCATCAGAGCCAAACTCCTGGAGAGCGAAGCTGTGAACGAGAACTTGAGGAAGAATCTGTCTCGAGCCTCCAACCGTCAGTCGTTGTACGGAGCGCCGGCGCTGCTGGCCCCCGAGAAGGAGACGTCTGACATCATCGAGCTCGCCAAGAAAGACCTGGAGAAACTGAAGAAACGAGAGAGGAAGAAAAAGAAAAGGTAACAAATACCGGAGACCAAAATAGACACAAGTAGGTCCGGGATCAGCTGGTATGTGATTGACGAATAAGTCTCAAACGGATATAACATGAAGCAATTCATAACACACACATTTAATGTTTGTAATGTAGATTAATATTGATACACTTAATGTTTTCACTGCAAGGAGTAACTCCTGGTGAGAAATCCAGGAGCTCTTCAGAGACTGATGAGAGGCTCCAGGTTGATCAGCGTTGTGTTGTTGGGCGCTGTAACGGGGATAAAAGCTTCCTCTGATCCTTCTTCCCTCCATTCTCTCTTCCTTCGTTCATCTCTCGCTTCCTTCTCTCCTTTGACCCCTTCACCCTTCACCCTCCCCCGAAGACTCCAGCACCTGTTGGAGGAGCGAGAGAGGGAGGAAAGGGAGGAAAGGGAGGAGGAGGTGGAAGAGGTTGATGACGCCAGGTTTGTCAGAGCTTCCACCCTCTGCTTCCCCCGAGTCAGCGTTTTATTTGACTTTTTCATTATTTTGCACCTGGAGTGAGACTCGCTACCATCAGCGCACTTCCCTTCAATATTATTATTATTATTTTTACTATATAGTGAGCTCTTTGGATCTTCTGTGTGAACCCTTCAGCTCATTCTTTGACCCGTCACGCTGCATCCCTGCTTCCTTTTTCATCTTTTTATGTTACTGACTTTATCATAGGTTTTAAATACCGAGGAAGTGTCTGTTTTCAAGATTTTCAACACAAGATCAAGACTCAGAACACTTTAGTTCATCCGATTATTAGTATTGAAGGTTTATAACTTCCAAAAGATTAGTTGAAAGGTTGAGCATGCAGGCAGAATATGTAGCCAATCTTTTGTCGCTTATGAAAGACTGTTGATGAGCCTTAAATACCTCTCATCCCTTTCCCGTGTTTGTGTTTGTTTATTTTCATTTTGGTCAGCTTATCCAGTTAAATATTTATTCAACAGATCTGCTTCATGGACTCAACTCACAATTATTTGCTTTTTTTTTTGTTGCAAAAAAACAGTCTTTTCCACAAACAAGGTGATGAAAACAGAGAAGCATCCTGTCTGTTCATAGTCACAGTAAGGTCACCAGCTTTATTGCTGCACAGTTGTGAAGTCAATAAAAGAGTTTGTTTGTCAAAAAGACAGTTATCGAAATAACAAAACATCTGCCCTGCCAACTAAAAAATACAATGAAACAAGGTCTTTATTAAATGCAGATGTTTGGTTAGAAATATGCCTCTTGTTTGAGGTGGACCATGTGCACCTCTGTCTCAGAGGATAACATCTCTGACTCTCCACTGTGTCTGAACCTTTCAGTGCCAACAAGGAGGAAGTTCCTGACAACGAGCAGGAGAAGGGCACAGAGAAGGAAACTACGGAGCGAGTCCACGAGGAAGCAGAAATCGTACGATTGACCGCCTGTCGTTTTCATCTTTACACTGAAATACATTGAATAGTGGCTTCAGATATTAAAACGATAGCATGTCATCCTGCAGGAGGTCCAGGAAGGCAGCGACCACGAGGAAGGAGAAGAGGAAGAGGAGGAGGATGAAGAGGAGATGGACGTGGAGGAGAGTTCAGATGATTCAGACTCGGAGACAGATGAAAAAGGTACGAGTACGTCTCGCGTTGAGAGGCCTCTGATTGTCCACAAGGGGGAGCTGTTCCATCACTGACGGACCGGTTTCTCTGTACATGTGTGTTTGGGAGTTTAGAGCGGAACACTTATAATTTCACCCCCGATGCATTAAAGATTGAAGAACACTGCTGAGTAAAAACCAGAGAGCGATGGTTTTCAAATGAAGCTTCGAAAGTCTGTCGTCGTATTTTATTTTATGATGTTGTGATGAGTTAGACTGGTTATATAAATGTATTTATGGTGCTGTTAGATTGCTGCTAGACCGCCTCCTTAATACAGGGGCATGCCTCCCTTTGTGTTTGGCAAGCAGGAGACTAAACTGTTGTGATTTTTACTGCACTGATGATCTTGTTTTTGAAAGGCTAAACTCCAACAAATTTGGGTTGAAGCAGAATATTTCATTAGATAAAAACCTGGAAAAGATTACATCCGTCTATTTTCAGCAAATTTTGACTTTTGGACTTAAAAACACCAGTCGGAAACAATCCTACGCAGCCACCACTGGTATCTACTTCTACAAATAGTATAATAGTAATTATATTAGTGAAGCCTGATCTTAATCTGCAACTGTGCAGAAATATCAGGTTTAAACAAAATGAATAGATATGCAAAAAACAAAAAAAAAGCTGCAGAGCATTCGAATGTTTAATTCAAATTCCAACGTTATGATTGAAGCTTGGAACTATTCGGTAAAGCTCTACACTGACTCTTGAGTCAAGGCTCTTAATATAAAGTTGTAAACACTTTGAATTAACTGTTATGTTGATAGCATACTTTGACTTCGTTATTTTTAGACAAAAGAGAAACATTTCCTTTAAGTTAAAAGAGGAATGTGCTGTCAATCAATAGATACTGTGGATTCATGACTGTAACATCGCTGAGAATGTGAATACGTGATCCGACAGTGTGTCTCCCCAAACAGAGAACTTCCAAGCCGATCTGGCCAACATCACCTGCGAGATCGCCATCAAGCAGAAGCTGATCGACGAGCTGGAGAACAGCCAGCGGCGTCTGCACACGCTCAAGCAGCAGTACGAACAGAAGCTGATGATGCTGCAGTGCAAGATCAGAGACACCCAGCTGGAGAGGGACCGGGTCCTTCAAAACATGAGTAAGACGCCACGTATCGCTGAGTGGGAAGAGAACCGCACCGATGCACTGTACATCCTTTATCCACACCCGCCACCACGTGGGATTGGCTTTTAACGTCGCTGCCTTTTGATGAGTTTATTTCAGACTTAAAGCGAAGTCAATTTAAGTTCTCGCCTGTCCTACTTCCATTTGGAAGAATTTATATCTCAGCCTTGTTTGATCTCAGTTTTTATCTTCAGTAATAAAAAAAAAACCCCGCTGCAGAACGCTGATGTACTTCAGAGAATCCTTTAAAGTGAAAGCTCTCCGACGATGACAGTTACATTTATATTTATCAGCACTAATTGATCAAAGCATTGTTGCATGGAGGTTTTAAAAGCATGGAGGACTTTTCAGCTCATCTTATTAAAAAGAAGAAAAAAAAGCACACAAAAGAGACTCTTTGACAGCTGAAGATCAAGGTTTCTGACTGTAAACCATTACTGAAAATATGTTTGTATACGCAGCGAAAGAAACTCTTCCAAATAAATTCTGTCAACGTCTGTTTCAGGAAGATCGGTTTTCCACGATGTTTGTGTTGCACGCTTTTCAGACACGGTCGAAACCGGCACGGACGACAAGTCGCGCAAGATCAAAGCTGAATACGAGAAGAAGCTGAGCGTCATGAACAAGGAGCTCCAGAAGCTCCAGTCGGCGCAAAAGGAGCACGCCCGCCTGCTGAAGAACCAATCGCAGTACGAGAAACAGATGAGGAAGCTCCAGGTGGACGTGGGGGAAATGAAGAAGACAAAGGTGCGATTGGTTACAGTGGTGATAATACTGTAATGTGAGGTCTCTCTGCCTGCTGTCTGTTTTCTGATAGTGATTTAATTCTAGAGTTGAGTTTGTTTGGAAGGAAATACTTCTATTATGATTAGAATAACAGTTTATGTAGCATTTAGGAATCAAGTTTGAGTGGCATCAGAGACATGTACACATGATTTACTCAATTAATAATGTCTCTTCTGCTGTGTGACTCTCGGATATCTTTCCTGTGACTTAAATTAAATGAAAATGTACAGCAGGCCAGACTCGTTGGAGAAGAAAGGGGGAGGATTTAAGAAATCAGCATCTCCACAATATTGACTCACTTTTACAATATTTGTGTATGTATAGTATGAACGTTTCATATATTTGGATGTGGTTGTTCCAGGTCCGCCTCATGAAGCAGATGAAGGAGCAGCAGGAGAAGAACAGGATGAACGAGTCTCGCAGAAACCGAGAAATAGCGTCGTTAAAGAAAGACCAGCGCAAGCAAGAGGTCAGCGATGGGGGGAGTCCTCTGCATCCTTTTTCTTTTTAAACTTGCATCTTAATCTGAGCCAACAGTTCCAGTTTTCCTCATCTAACTGTGGCTGACGCTCTCCTTGTATTACAGCACCAACTAAAGTTACTGGAGGCTCAGAAACGGCAGCAGGAGCTCATTCTGAGGAGGAAGACCGAGGAGGTGAGCAGCATCACAATTGGATTGCCACCTTTTTTACATAATCTATGCGGATACACTTGTGATTCATCACGGATGCAGGAACGCACACTTCTTAGTGTTCACTCACGTTTCTGTTTGCCACGTGCGTAAGGTGACGGCTCTGAGGAGGCAGGCCAGGCCCACCTCAGGTAAGGTCGCCAGGAAGGAGCCGGTGCAGGACTCCACCCACAGAACTCCATCTGGACGCTTGTACTCCTCCGGCAACGCTGCTCCCAATGGCACTCGGTGAGTCTCTGTGTGTGTGCGCGCACACGTTTCCAGAGAGGCAAGTGAGAAAGGCTACTAAATATAGATGCTTTTTCATAAACCAAAATAGGCCAGGTGTTATCCTCGCAGCAATAAATAACCGCACATGGAAGTGAGGCACTTAACACCTGCACCATCATAAGTCATCCTAGAATGTCAAATCCTCTTTGCACATGGCTGTTTAGACATTTATTATGTTGGATTTGAATACATAAAATCTGCACCTGGAGCATGTTTATGAGCTGATTTACATCATCAATGTGTTTAATCCATTATTGACTGCGTGTGTGTGTGCGTGTGTGTGTGCGCGTGTGTGTGCGCGCGCGCAGGTCTTCCTACAGGCGCACAGTAGGTATTTACTCCACCAGAATTGCGCGCAATAAATGGCAGTCTCTGGAGCGCCGCATCACGGACGTCATCATGCAGAGGATGACCATCTCCAACATGGAGGCCGACATGAACCGCCTCCTCAAGGTAAAGCTACGGCAGTACGTTGTTGTACTGGGAGGTGTCTTGATTTATCCACTACACTGTTATCAGCTTCAGACCTGAGATCAGCAGGAAAAGGCAGGCGGAGAAAAAGGGTAACACCCTGAGCGCTTAAGAGGTGTCTGGCAGATCTCTGTGAGAGGCTTGTTTGTTTCATATTAATGCTGTTCAGCCAAACTGAGGGTTGTTTGTTTTGGGGAAAATTCAAATGTCAGATTCTGACCTCAGAGGAGGCTTGAAGTACTGCCACATCATCTTGTTATTGCACGATGGCAAACAAAAATAAAAACCTGGGCTAAAATCTTTTCAAATTAACTACATGAACCAAAGACCGTATCTTTTTCCTGTTCCCTGCACTTCTGCAACATTTCAATAACTCCATGGACTGAAATCTGAGGTCAGCGTGTGTTTTGTGTTCCCAGCAACGAGAGGAGCTGACCAAGCGTAAAGAGAAGGTCATCAGGAAGAGGGACCGTCTGTTCAGGGAGGGGCCCGAGGCAGAGAAGGCAGCGATTCCTCTTAACGAGGAAGTGGACGCTTTGACGGCCAACATTGACTACATCAATGACAGCATCGCAGACTGTCAGGCCAACATCATGCAGATGGAGGAAGCCAAGGTGAGAGAGGATCTGCTGGCTGGTTAAATAGATGGAGAGCGGGAATGAGCTTTATCTCATCGCGTACTGACTTGATCTGAACAGCTCAAGTGGGACATAAAGAGTTCTTTGTCCTCACGAGTTTCAGAGAAGTTGTATAAAATAACGCTATTTCTTTTTTTCCAGGAGGAAGGTGACACGGTGGATATTTCTGCTGTGGTTAGTTCCTGTACGCTGACGGAAGCTCGCTTTCTGTTGGATCACTTCATGTCGATGGCCATCAACAAGGTACCGGCATAGACTGACATCATAATGATGTCATTTATTACACATGGTCCCGGATAGATATTCAAATTTTGCTAAATTTATGCCAATAAAGTACATTTTCGATTATAAAGAAGAAGGTGAAGTGGTTTTATTTGTGCGTTTTTCTAACATTTTTACTCCAGCGAAATGAATCAGCTACAGATTGATATTCACCATTTAATCTCCATGAACAGATTCTGCATTCGTATGAAGGAAACAGGACAACATTTCAATCAGAATTTTTCTGGTTTGTAGTCGGAGTAGTATCGACCAATCACATTGGAGCAGGCCTTTGTTTGCATGCAGTTTTAAAAGTATGTTCCACATTGGCACAGATGCATTCTGGGAACTCCCCAGCCATCGCATGACGTAAACTGTGAAACAATCCGAGCGTAACTCTTAACTGCAGTCTTGCTCGATGTGGCTGAAATTCGACGTGTACGATCATGTCTCCGTTCTGACCTCTTCAGGGTCTCCAGGCAGCCCAGAAGGAGTCCCAGGTGAAGGTGATGGAGGGCCAGCTGAAGCAGACGGAGATCACCAGCGCCACACAGAACCAGCTGCTCTTTCACATGCTGAAGGAGAAGGCCGAGTTCAACCCGGAGCTGGACGCGCTGCTGGGGAACGCGCTGCAAGGTGACGACGGCGTTTGTTTTATTCGGGTTGAGTTTGAAAACAGACCAGACCCCCCC